GTCTGAGGGCATTGCAGTGACTTGTGACTCACGAGTCAAAGTGGACGCTTCCCCTGAACTCACTCTGATTGTGTTTGGGGAGGAGAACGTGCCAAGATCTCTGCTAAAAGAAGTCTGGAGCAATCTTGAGTCACTCCAGCTTATTCATCTGCCCAAACTGGGATCCAACCCTCTCTGTATGCCCAACAGCTGCTGGGTTCCTGCTTAATGCTTGCAATAAAACTGGCCACGCAATTAAGCACTGACTTGAAATTACAGGTATGGCAGTCCTGTCAACTCAGTTATGTGTAACTGTATGTGTCTAATGTACATGCATAATTGTGTAAACACTCATCAGCCTTAACTTTGGTGAGGTTTGGGGAAGGTTTGTGTACACAGTGAAGAAACTTTGAACATGAAATGATTTGGTTTCCTGCATTGCTTTGCTGTGTGCCTGCAGTTACCAGTGCCAGGCTGGGGTAAGAATATCACTTATTTTTAAATAGCTTCTAGAATGTTAGTGCTTTGGGTGACCATGAGTGGTGGTGGTGTGGTTACACACTAATATCCCCATCTTGATGCTGGGTGATTGGATTTTGGGAATGGTCCAAACCACTGGACTGCCTGTGAGTTCAGTTCAGTATTCCAGTTAAAGAAGTGGAGCTCGCTGATATCAGTAAAGGAATAACATACGAGCAACAGGTTAATTTGCAGGTATTTATCTTGCCTTTTTTCCCTCGGCTTTTTAGAAGAAACATAAAAACCTCAACCCTCCTTATTTGTGTGGCTGCACTGCAAAGGGATCTGAAATTGTGACCACACTGGAGACCTATTTGTCATATTCATATATTTCTTTTAATGTGTTTTTCCTTTCTAAAGAGCCTGCTAGGTGGTTCTGAGGGGGGATTTGCCCCCTTGAGAAGGTTCATCGGGACTGTCACAGAGCTGCTTTTGTGGCTGCCTCCCCTTAAACCCAACCTCTAGCTGTGCCTAATCAGGGAAGGCTGGGACCTGGGAAAAGGTGAGGAGGGTTTCGTGTGTGCTGCAGGGACCCACCTGTTCCTTAAAGCCAGAAGTCTGCAAGCCCAGCTGTTACAGCTCTGCTGCTGCAGGAGGAGCCAAAATGAACTTTAAGGTTCCTTCCAACCCAAACCATTCCGGGGTTCTGTGAGTTGATTTAACAGTAATAGTTGTCAGAGAGTGACACAGGACAGAACATACTAGAACTGCCAGAGTGCCTCATTAAGGCTCTGGTTTTCACACAATGCTCCTGAGCCAGTCCCAAACAAACCTCTCCAGTCTGTGGGCTTTGTTACCAATCCCTGGCTGGGCTCAGCGCTGATAAAAATAAAATTGAACGTACACTGTGTGCACTCTGGGGGAGGATCCTGTGAGTGCCAACGGAAACATTGTCTGTTCAGAGCTGAAGAAAGAAATACAGCATTTGCTACTAAGGAGTGAAAATAGAATTTTCCTAAATTACACAAAAAGAAGAAATTATAAACCAAATGGCATCACTGTTGGGCTTAACGTGATGTAGGACACTCTTACTCAAAATGTCTTTGCACACTAAATGCCCTCAGCAGTGTGGCTTCTAAGAGTGAGGGGGTTTTTAGAGGATCAGTGTTAATTTAGTGAAAGCACTTTGGCCAGTGTTTTGGGAAAAGCTTGACTGACTGCCCTTAGAAATTAAAGTATCTCTCCATCGTCACTGTGTTGCAGCAGGTGACAACAGTGGATTAGGGGATGGATGATTCTTTCAGTTTTCCTTGCTAGAAATAACTTGAAGGATTTAAACATCCTCTTGTTTTTGAGTGGCGCCACGGGAGGAGTTGCAAAGAGAGCTCAGCATATTCCATCAGTTGGCTCTTTAGAGGCTTCTCCCAAAGATGCTGATGTGTGACTGCCTTCCCTGGGGCAGCAGGACTGGAGCAGCGGTGACCTCTCCAGGGCAGGCTGTTGGTGAGCACCAGTGACCTCTCCAGGGCAGGGCGCTGGTGCACGAACATCTGTTCCTGGTGAATGTCACAATTACCATTTCACTGGGTTGCCTGCAGTTAGGAGATCTCCAGGAGTGTACTCATCTATGAAGGATGTCAGATTAACTTGTCTTAGCCATTCTGTTGTTATAAAATAAATTTTTGGCTTAAACATTTGGAAAACCCCGAAGTGTCACTCAGGAGTCACCTCTGGCAGCCAGGAGGGTCATTGTTTTGTTTGGCTTTGGAGCCCCAGTGCTGTTGTGAGGCACAGGGACATAGAGCTGGCTGTGGTGGGTAATCCAGGGCTGGATACCAGGAAAAGGTTCTTCCCCCAGAGGGTGGTGGGCACTGATCAGGCTCCCCAGGGCAGTGGGCACAGCCCACAGCTGGGAAGCCACTCTTCATTCCCCTCAAATCCAGATCTCTCCAGATCTCTGTTACTTATGCTATGAAATACTTGAGGATTCCATGCTGTAGGTCACATCAATCTGAAAACAGTGGGTTTTTCTACTAGTGTAGTTCATCAGGAACTGGTTATTTCCCAGTCCTCTTCCTGCAAATAAATTCCACGGGCACTCAGTTCCATTTGGACGGCTGAGAAGTGAGTAATAACACAGGAGTTCTCATATCAGAATAATGCTGAGAGGAAAATGGATGAGAGGTTCAGAGAAACCAGGAAAATGTTGTTTCGAACACAGCAGTCCAAATCCTGAAGTGCACTGAGCGTGTCCTGAGCTCGCTCTGACTTTAGGAGCATTGGGAGACTCAACAAGATGCCGAGCAGCCTTTGGATTTGGGGCTTGCTAAACAATGGTTACTTAGAAGTTTGGTTTTATAGAAATTACCCATTTGCACATTATTTATTCTGCTGATTGGCTCCTCTGGATTGCTTTTGCTCTGGGCAAATAAGTGACAAATCTGGGCAGAGGCAAACTTGCCAAATTTAAACAGTCAGAGTCCCCACAGACCAAAGCTAATATTGGCTGATGCTGAATTGTGCTGCTGTGGGATGAATCCCCACCCCGGGGTAGCCACAGGAGGCTGGTTTGTGTTAGTGCCACCTTGGGCACTGGTGACAGGAACAGAGGGAGGATCAGAAAGTCACTAAGGAAACCCTCCTGGTCCCGGGTCATGCTATGGCGAGAGAATAAACCCCCCTGAGCCCATGGTCTGTCAGGGTTGGATTGATGGGTGACCTGTGTCTGGGGGTGCTGTTCCTGCTGTGTGGCCCTGATGGGTGACCTCTGTCTGGGGATGCTGTTCCTGCTGCGTGGCCCTGCACAGCCAAACCTTGCAGTGCCTGTGGGCCAGGCAGCCCCAAATCCAGCACCACCACAAAGGGGATGTCTCCAGGCACTGTGCCCCTGAAAGCCCAGGGCTTCGGGCTAGAGGAGCGTTTCTTGGGTTACAGAATCACTGAATCATTTAGGTTGGAAAAGACTTCTGAGATCAGACCTGTGATCACCACGTTGTCAACTAGACCAGAGCACTGAGTGCCATGTCCAGTTGTTCCTTGAGCACTGGATTCCTTTGCAGTATGTGTTGTTACGTGGAAGCAGCTGCTGTACCACAGCTTGTCACCGTCCTTTGTCCCTTTTCCACCCATCACTCCCTCTCCACACGAGCTGTACCTTCTCTCAACCCTGCCTTAAACTGGGTGAACCTCATGAGGTCATTTATCCCTCCCTGCCACCACAGCAGCAGCAATGCTGGTGCCTTTATAGAATGCTTTGCCTGCCACCTCTGACCAATGGTTGTTCCCCCTCGTGCATCTCGTGTGATGGAGCATCCCCAACTTTTCCTGACATCTTGCTCAGTTGTTTTGCTGTTCTTTTTTTGCAGCTGATTCCAAGCATTGTTTGCTGAGTGGAATTGGAGTTACTGTTTGTTTCTTCATCGGTGCTTTATCATGCTGCCGTTTCTGTACACTCAGTGTAACTTTTTTTTCTCGTAGCTGAAGACAGATTGTGCTGCAGGGCCTGGGCTGGGTTGGAATGAGGGCTTTGGGGAGGGGAGGCGGTGCCTGCGAGGCCATTGATCCCATCTTTATAACTTTGCCCTTTTAGCTGGGAACAGATGATTTGCACAGGGGTTGGAGATGGCACAGGCAGAATCCGAAGGACCAGACTTTACATAAACCATTTATACTAAACATTGGGGATGCTGGCAACATAAATCAACTACAGTATCTATTACAAATTTATCACTTTATCAGTATCATCTGTGATAGGAGTGGTCTGAACAGGTGGGGAAGTGAACAGTACCTCGGGAAGTTTAGCCTGCTCAGAAATTAATTATTCAGGACACACAGAGCCTGGCCCCTTCAATGTATAGTAATTCTTTCCCGCCAGCATCCAGGCCTCCAACTTCAGTGCAATAATAAATAGGAAAAGTCTCAGGTGAATCCAGTATTTCAGAGTAATTAATCATCTTCCCCTCATGGTCCCTCCGCCTCTCTCTTGGTTTTCTTTAACGAGGGAATTTCAGTAATAAATCTTTAATGATATATGTTAAGAATCCTTCATTAATTCTTGTCCGCTTATTTCTCTCTTTTGGGTGCTTTTATGTTGTATGTTGGGACGTTAAAAGGAATATACAAGAAAAAAACAGTTAAATTTGACACAGTCTATGAAAGGGTGTTTTTGGGTGTTGTTTCGTGTGTTCGCTTGGTAATCAGAACTGTTGGTTAATGGCAGCTGGATTGTCGAAAGGATTCTTGGATACAGTGCAGAGTTACGGCAGGATCACAAGGGAAAAGGGAGAGAAGGCAGTGGTCTGTCTGCTCCTAAGTGGAGGGGAAGGGGTAGGAGTGCTCGGTCTGAGAGGGGTGTGTGTTGTGGGATGCGCAGAGGCCCGTGGGGCGCACGGCCGGACACGGCGCTGCCCACGCGGCGTCCGGCGAGGGGCTGTGTCTGCCAACACCCCCGGTGGGGCGAGCAGCCGTCAGGGCTATGGGATGTGACAGGCCCGGGCGTGACGGATCGGCTGTGACACCCGGCCGCCGTGGGTGACGGGTGTCCTTGCGGTGCCTCCCCGCAGGACAGCACAACGACGCGCGCATGAACCTGGCCATCGCCCTCACGGCCGCGCGCTACGGCGCTGCCACCGCCAATTACGCCGAGGTGCGGCGCCTGCTCAAGACCACCGACCCGGCCAGCGGGAAGCTTCGTGTGTGCGGGGTGCGCTGCAGGGACGTCCTGAGCGGTGAGTGGGACCCCCTGCCCAGCCTGGGCTCTGCTGGCCGGGCAGGGCAGAGCCCTCAGGGGTAACGCGGCAGGGAGGAGCGGGGCTGGGGCTGTCTGTGAACATCCACCAGCCACAAAGGAGCCATCTTCCCAGGCCGTGCCATTAGTGTCACTCAGCCTTAGCTCCTGTCACATTTCTCACTCAAATCCCAGTGTTTTGGCAGGGCAGACTGAGCTTTACATCCAAACCCTTCTGTCAGGCAAAGATGACATTGTCAAAGGCTCCGTGCTGTACAGTAATAATCCCATTTACTGAGTCTGTGGGGTGAGACTGAAATCTTTTTTTCCTTGAGAGGCAGATTTCAGCTGAGCAACTTCCACCTCGTCTGCCCTCACAGATAAGCTGGAATTCCACTCTAAAACGTTCTCTTTCAAATCTGGTGTTAGGTGAAGACTTAGTTAATTTTTAGAGCCCACCCCAGCTGTTGTGTTCAGACATGCAAGCTACACTTTACAGTAGGGTGAGTTCATAGAGAGATTAATAACAGAGAGCGTCAGCGAGCAGGAAACAAATGGTGTCTGTGATTGATACTGTTTTCTTTCACAGGGAAGGAATTTGATGTCAGAGCCAAGTGTGTTATCAATGCTACGGGACCTTTCACAGACTCCGTGCGCAAAATGGATGATGAGGAAGTGCCCAACATCTGTCAGCCCAGTGCAGGAGTGCACATCGTGATGCCTGGTTATTACAGGTACCGGGGCTCGGAGCCTGCTCCATTTGTAACACCATTTGTAACAGTCTCTGCTGGGGAATAAATAAGCTCCCAGAGACGCATTGGTGGGCTTTACAGCACTTCTGAACGCACAGTTTGATTTTGATTTTTATTTGTGTTTTTTAAAGAGGATTCTGGCACTGTGCCGATGAGAAGAACAATTTCATCTATTCAGAAAACACTGAAGTCTTTTAGTTCTTAGTTAAAGCTCCCCAAGGCAGGACTCCCGCTGAAGCAGAAGGCGTTTAGGCAGAGCATCACCAGACTTGTGAAAGCACCTATTTCAATAATGCCTTTGAGCTGAGTGTGCTGCCTGCCCGGTCACCTCCTTGGGAAAACCTCCCAGCAAGGTTGCATCTTCATACAGAATCTCTTGTCCTGTTAAATCATGGAACCACAGGGTAGTTTGGGTTGGAAGGGACCTTCAGAGATCACCTCGTTCCACCCCCTGCCTTTATAACAGGAAATTCCCTGTGCAATGACTCTGCCACCTGCTCAGCGTAAATAGGACGGAATAAATAATATAATGGGCACTATGATAAGTAATAATTAGTAATATTGGTGTCAGCCAACAGAAGTAGTTCAGAGTAACACAGTTAAATTCTGGCACTGCTGTGGCCACAAGCTCCCCCCCAACCTGTGGGGGTTTTGGTGGTCAGGATGTGCCCCCCTCGGCCGCCCTTGTTCCAGGAGAGGTTCCTGTGGCACTCTGCTCCCTGCAGTCTCCTGCTTCCCTCCCTGTTTGCTGTGCAAAGCCAAATCCCCTTCTCCCGAGTCAGCCCTGTCAGTTGGAACTCAAATATTACCTTTGGTTCCTCAAGTCATTAGCATCCTAATGGAAATTCTGCTTTATGGACTTAGCCCAGTTCTGTTGATACAGAGCCCTTGCAGTAATGCCTTCCATAGCACCATGGTGCTCCTTGGAATGGGAATTCAGCCTTCCAGGGCACAACAGGGTGTTCTGCTGGAGCTGTCCTAGCAGCACGTGACCACAGACTAAAATTGAGGCATTTTTGGCCTAGTGTAAAATCACCCCTGCATTCTGTTCTGGGTTTTTTTGTATCTTTCCCCATGAAAAATGGGAAAATGACCTGATAGCTGCTTTAAAGTACTAAAAATGTGAAGAAATGGGCTGTAATCCCAGTTTCCTCATATGCCAGGAGGAGGACGGGTGCGATTGGCTTTATGGCCCCACACAAAAACATGGAAAGCTTTAAAACTTGGACTCACTTTGTAAACTCAAAGTAGAAGATGGCTTGATATGCATTTATTTATTCTGTAATAACCCAATAATTTTAATTGGAAATGTGGAGAATTCTTGTTCTCCGTGTTCCCCGGTGTATGTCAGCATGTGGGCATTACTTTCCTTGGAAAATAGTATCTGCCCACACGCTGCCTCCACAGCACAGCTGATTAGATAAAACTGCACTGAGTTTCCTTGGAGTGTGATAGCTGAAAGCAGGGAACTGTCTGCTGAACAGAAAATACTCGTGGGATTTAATCTTAGTTGGATCAGGTCTTTTCCTGGTGCCAGGGAACACTCCTCAGCACAGGAAGGTTGGCATTTCACCGTGTCCACTTGCCCTGTGGTGAATGTTTCACAGAATTTTGACCCACAGTCACAAAAATGATTTTTTTTTTTTTTTTTTTTTAAGATTTAGAGGTTCTCAGTTACAGTTAAGATTTTGTAAAACTAATGTTAACCTAATGCATTCACTTCCCATGGGTTTTTTGCTCATTGATGTTCTTCATTAATAGTCCCAGAATTCCTCCCCTCATTAATTAGGCTTCCAGCCTGGAATGTGTCTGTGAATACAAGGCTTTTTCCTCTCCCTTCTGACCAATTTCAGATGTTTTCAGTCTTTCTTGAATTTTCCTCTCTGCTCTGCATTCCAGATTCCAGGTAAACTTATCTGTTGCATCTCAGTTCTGCTCTGTGGAAAGTCACTTTTTGTTCTTGCAGTGCATTTGTGGTGCTTTGGTCAAATGCTTCTTCAGCTGGAGATCAACAAGGATCCAAGACCTTCCATGTATCTCCCAGACCACTTCCCTGTGCATTTCTGTGTGCCTTGCTCTAATGCTTCATATCAGAGTTTGCAATCCTGAACTTGCCCATTTTAGCAGCCTTTGAAGAGGAATCTCACGTGGCTAGCATGGCTCACACCTCCTTCTCCCATCCATTTTGGAATCACAGGAATTCCTGCCTTAGAAAACCGTGTTGTTTCACAGGTATTCCTGGTGTGTAGCAAGCAGCATGACTCCACAGGCTTCCCAAAAGCCAGTATTTGGGTGTTAAGATGCTGCTTTTTGATGCAAAACACCTTATTTTGCATTTGTTTGGGTGACTCTTCAGTTATTTAAATAAACTGGAGCAAGCCGGGCAATGGGCATGGAGAGAGAGTTTCCCAGGAAAGCTGGTATCAGTAATTCAGTAAATAATTGGCACATGGAAGGCTTGCATCCTTTCTCAGCACTTGCTGTGTAATCTAAAAACAGTTCAGTCCAGAGGTGCTGTGGGAAAATGTAGTTTGAAGAAGTCTCTTCCTTATTTTAACAGTTTTTATGAAATCACGTAAAAAAACCCACATGCTTTTAAGAAAATGTCTATAAAGTTTCTGAATTCTGGTACTGTATATTAAATCTCTGATTTCCTCTGTCTCTAAATCAACAGCTTTTTCATTTTAAAAAGTAATCATTTGTCTGAGGTGATTTACCTTTCCCAAACTGTGTTGACTTCCCCTATTAGATTGTACCTCTCCCTCTGTAGGCCTAAGCTGTCTTTAAATATCAGCTAAAAATGGTTCTAATATACATGCTAGGTATGAAATTCTCAGCTTCTCTTCCAGCCTGGCCATATATTGCAAACTTCCCTTCAGTAATCAGTTTAGGCTTCCTCAAAATGGAATATTCATTGATTCAGCTTGAATAGGTAGTTCTCACCCGAGCAAGTCTTTGCCCTCAGATACTGTGTTAGGAATTGTTTGAGCCCGTTGAATGATTCCCCTCTAAATTCCCTAATTGCCACCTAAATCTCCACCTGCTGTCCTCCTTCCACGTGCTCCCCATATCCCCCTCCAGCTCCCAGGAGTGGGAGCACAGCCTGGACACCCCTGGAGACTACAAGTGTTTTTATAGGGACTTGCAGCACCTGAAATGAAAGTCAGCATCTGCCCTTAAAATAAAAATGAGCAAAGAAAGGAGCACTTTAATGTTTCATCTATAAAAACTGTTTACTTTAAAGTGTTTATAAAAGCCTCTTATTTTCTGAAATACAAGCAGAGCTTTTTAATAAGCCATGAGGAGGTGGCTGGGTTTGTACCTGTGAATTTTATTTTACATTATACCAGAACCCACTGATACATACATTAAAATTTCCTGTCTAAAGAACTACTGTTTTTCTTCCTTGTATTGAACGATTCCATTCTGCACTGGCAGAACTAATGAAAAGTCTCTTGAGTAGCAGCATCATGTTGGTGTCACTTTTGCCTTTTTTCCCCAAAGCACAGTTCCCTGTTCAGGGCCACAGAACTGGGAGCACTCAAATCCCACGGGAGTCTGTGGGTGTTTCTTCCTGTTGAAGTGGCAGGTGGTGACAGACTCAGGCTTGGTGTCACTGGAAGGACTCCTTAAATGTCCTCATTTCTCCTCTTTTCTCTCCTTTTTCTCTCAGTTGCCACCCCCACCCCTCCCATTCCACATGCACTGGGGAGGCAGGTTGGAGGGTCACTGGGATTTTGGATGTCTTCAATTTTGCCCTCTGTTCAGGGTGCAAATAATTGACAGCTCAGGTTAATAAGATCTGATCTTCATTATTTCTTGTTCTGTACTTAGACATATCAGAAAAGAACCAGGGTTCTGTTCTTTTTCCATTTGACTAGATTATGGATTAGGGAGAAATTCCTGGCTGGGAGGGTGGGCAGGCCCTGGCACAGGTTGGGCAGAGAAGCTGTGGCTGCCCCTGGATCCCTGGAAGTGTCCAAGGCCAGGTTGGACAGGGCTTGGAGCAACCTGGGCTGGTGGAAGGTGTCCCTGCCCATGGCAGGAGGTGGAATGAGATGGGCTTTAAGGTCCCTCCCAACCCAAATCAGTCTGTGAACACTCGTCCTGTTTCAGCCTTCCCTCTCCCTTGTGGCATAATACAGAGGATTGCCTATTTTTGGGATTAAAAGCAGTTGTTCATTTCATGAGGAGTTTCAAGTCATTGCAGGTTTAAAATTTCCCACTGTTTGTATTTGAAATTCCAGTACACAAGGTTTTCCAGAGTGAATGGGGATGGGAGATGCCGAAGGCCTGATTGCTGCACTTTAAGGTTGTGCTCTGCTCACTCGGTTAGGAAATCAAACTGTAATTCCTGAGCACCACATCCAAGGGCCTTGTTTCCGAAAACTCCCGGGACTGTCCTTTAAAGGCAGGTCCAGGCCAGAGGTGAACTCTGTCATTTATTTGTTAAATCATTTGGCCTAAGAATGAAGGTTCAGTTCCAGTATTTCCCTGGAGTGCCAGGTGTGCAGGAAATGTCCCCCGGCTGCTCCTGCCCTGTTCTGAACCGTGTCCCTCCTTTCCTTCAGCCCTGACAACATGGGGTTGCTGGACCCAGCCACCAGCGATGGCAGAGTGATTTTCTTCCTGCCCTGGGAGAAGATGACGATTGCAGGGACCACGGACAGCCCCACCGATGTCACCTCCCACCCCATCCCCACGGAGGAGGACATCAACTTCATCCTGAGCGAAGTGCGCCACTACCTGGGCGCCGACGTGGAAGGTAAACCTGGGAGGGCTCCTGGAAAGGTGCTCAGGAGTCTGGGGAAGTGCAGCAACTAACTCACCTGGAACAAAAAGTTGTTTGGAGTTTTCCCATGCCCTTGTTTCTATTCTCATTTTTCTAGGCATTTTATTCTCAGAATTTACTTTGCTTGGTCGGTAAATATCTTACAGTGGCAGTTTTGGTGGGAAAGTGAAAAAAAAGTGTCTCCAGGGAAGGTCCTGTTGGGTGTCTGGAGCAGCAGGTGCTGTTGGAAGTGCAGGAGGCCAGGCAGGGATTTAGGAATGTGAATAAGACAGAGATTAAATTAGAGATTAGGAAGGAATTCCTGGCTGGGAGGGTGGGCAGGCCCTGGCACAGGTTGCCCAGAGCAGCTGTGGCTGCCCCTGGTTCCCTGGAAGTGTCCAAGGTCAGGTTAGAGGGGCTTGGAGCAACCTGGACTGGTGGGAGGAGTCCCTGCCCATGGCAGGGGCATGGAATGGGATGAGCTCTGAGGTCCCTCCCAACCCAAGCCACCCCATGGTTTCACAGGTATTTTCCAGCAGTGCATCCCACAGTGTTCAGTCCCTCTGGCTCCAGCCCACCTGGGCACTCGCTGTTTCTCACCCCTGCAATTACCATGTTTATAGATGGCTGGTACTGAAATAACAACTGCTCTGCCCATATCAACCCTCCACAGCCCTGCCTGTGCTGCCAGAGCCAGTGCCAGGGTTATCAACTTCCACAGGCTTGGACACCTTCCAGCTGCTTAATTACAGCGTCACGCGTGCTGCTTCCTCTAGTTCCATTAGTTTATAAGCGTAATACGGGATCCTAGTCCTGTGATTAACACTTCATTTTGGCAGGTTAAACACGCTGGCAGAGCACCATTGATTTTGGAAATCTATTCCGTGTTCTTTGGGGGATGTTTTTTACACCCTTTTAGTGATTTTTCAATTATCGTTTATTTGAAAGTTGTAATAAGAACATGTTCCAAAGACTTGGGTGTGAAGCAAATCAGTAACTGCACTTAGGGTGAAGGCTGTGGGTAAAGATGACTTGTCAAGAGGAGAACTCGGAAAAATAACCTACAAGCTAGAGAAAAGGCTTGGGAGTCCTAAAAGGAAATGTTACACTCACAGAACAAACTTTATTTTGGCTTTTAAAATGTAATGTAAGGACTATCCTGTCAGCACAGGCAGACAGGGATAGGAGACAAACAGACCTGTCTGTCTGACTTTGCTTTGGGCTGGCAGTTATTGCCAGTCCTGATTGGAGCAGTGCTGAGTTGAATTTAGCCTGGAGAAAAGGATGCTGGGGGTGACAAGGTGGGACTCCATGGTCTGGGAGGTCTTTTCCAGCCTCAGTGATTCTGTAATTCTGAATTGTGCAGTAATTCAGCTTATTCCCTGACTTGGGAGGGTCTCCCCCAGCTTTGCAGGTTGCTGGGCACAGGGGGTGCAGCCCTTGGCAGTGCCCCCGAGCCCGGGAGGGGTGGGAGCAGAGTGCCCCTCAGCTCTGGGCTGACTGTGCCTGATGCCTGGACAGTGAGGAGAGGAGACGTGCTGGCAGCGTGGAGCGGGATCCGGCCCCTGGTCACAGACCCCAACTCCAAGGACACGCAGTCGATCTCGCGCAACCACGTGGTGACCATCAGCGACAGCGGCCTCGTCACCATCGCAGGTACTGCCGGGGCTCCCCGGGCTCTGCTGGGCTCCCCAGGGCTCTGCTGGGCTCCCCGGGCTCTGCTGGGCTCCCTGGGCTCTGCTGGGCTCCCCAGGGCTCTGCTGGGCTCCCTGGGGCTCCCCTCACAATCCCTCGCTCCCTGTAACCAGACACTCATCTGGCAGCGGCAGCACGACTGGCTTGCTGGGGCAAGCCTGACAAGAAATTCTGTGATATGTAATTATATATATCTATAGTATGCAGCAACTTCATATTCTTCTTGCTCTCCCCAAATAAAGAGGTGGGCGTGTGTTCCCACAGGGGGGAAGTGGACAACCTACCGTGCCATGGCGCGGGACACCATCGATGCAGCCATTCAGGAGCACAACCTGAAGGCAGGATCCAGTAAAACCATGGGGCTGCAGCTGGAGGGGGCTCACGACTGGAGCCCCACACTCTACATTAGGCTGGTCCAAGACTACGGACTTGAAAGCGAGGTGAGTCATGGTTCTGGTGGTGCTCTGATGTTTTGGTGTTGCAGGGGGTTGTTTTTTCCCTAAATCAAACACCAGCATAACTTGGGCAAAGGTCTGGTGAGCCTGATCAGAGCTTATTGTCTGGCTAGGGCAAAGATGGTTTGAACAGAAATAAATTCTGGTAGTTGTTCTTCATCTTCCCTTTTTCTTTCCTTCCAGTCTTGACTGTTTCCTGCTCTAAAATGTTGGGGTTTGTCTCCCTGGGAGCCCCCAGAGCTGTACACCTGCCATGATCTCAGTGTGGCAGAAGAGCTGGGGTGTCATCAGTCCCAGTGGTACAGACACGGGGGGCAGTGCTGGTCCAGCCCATCCCCAACAGACTTTCCTCCCACACAGTCACAATCTAACACCCTCTGCAGCCTGTCTGTTATTGGTGATGGAATGGACAAGGAACACTGCATGTTTCATGCTTTCAGAGTATACTGGGTTTGTTTTCCTCTCCACAGGTGGCTCAGCACTTGGCTTCCACCTACGGGGACAAGGCTTTTGAGGTGGCCAAAATAGCCCAGGTCACAGGGAAGAGGTGGCCAATTGTTGGGAAACGTCTGGTGTCTGAATTCCCTTACATTGAAGCTGAGGTATGTGGGAAAACTACATCATGTTCTTTGAGTCTGATCTTGGCCTGAGCAGGTTCTAGAGCACATCATGGCTCTGTGAAACATCTCCTTGAGCCCCTTCCTTTGGGAAGGTCCTGATTTTTTTCTGGTCCTGTTTCTCCTCTTCCCTGGAGCACGTTTTATTTTTACGTATTTATATGTATACATATTAATAGATATCATTAACTGTTTATATAGTGTCTTTATTTCATACATAAAAAACCTCATCCCAGGTGGGTTTTATAAAACGTCCCAAGGAGAAGGGAACATTCCGAGCCCTTCTCTCGGCTGGGTGGGTGCTGGTTCCCGACAGCTGCTGCTGCGTGGCCGGCCCAGCAGCGTGCTCTGGGGTGCAATTCCTGCCATTCCCATATCCCTCTCACGTGCTGCCCTGGGCTGGTGCTGCAGGTGGTGTACGGGGTGAAGGAGTACGCCCGCACCGCCGTGGACATCATCTCCGCCGCACCCGCCTGGCCTTCCTCAACGTGCAGGCGGCGGAGGAGGCCCTGCCCAGGATCGTGGACATCATGGGCAAAGAACTCAACTGGAGCGAGCAGAAAAAGAAGGTACAAAGGGCCTTTTTCAGCTGAAGCTGCTTTGTTTCGCTTAAGGAGTTTCCATGTTAACCGTCCAAGTCAGTTGAATAGAAAACTACAAGCGATGTTTTATTCCTGAGGGAATGAGTCACTTGGTGCATTTCCTTATAAGGACTTTATCAAATAGCTGTGAAATGAGCTGGGATTGGCCAGGGGGTGGAGGGGAAAGGGAAGATCTGTATCTTGTTGTTCCCCAGCTTTAAACATGAAAGCAGACTTGGCATTACTGTCCTATTCCTATCAATTATTTTGTTTACTGACACTTTTCAACTGATCTGCCTCAGCAAAGGAGGATCTTGTAATTTATGTCACCAGTTTTTGTCTGCTGTGTCTTTTGAGGAGTGGTAATACTGAGTTTGCACCGGTCTGCAGCCTAAATGAATGTCTAAGGTCGTTGTTGGCTTCCTTTGCCCTCCATGGGTCCATGGTCAGAGTCACTGTGGGACTTGCTCACCCCTGCCTGTGGTGTTGAGGACAGACAGCAAACAGAGCCTGTGAATGCTCAGCTGGCACTTCCACTCCAGAGTTTCCCTTGTAGTGTTCATGGAACCTTTTAGCCAGTCAGAAGCTGGATTAACATTCTGGGAAGGGCTCATTTGAGCCAGAGGACCTGCTGTGATCCTGGAGCCTACCTGCAGGAATGCCTAAGGAAAGGGATCCCATCCTGTCCCAGGTGTGAGGGTGCTGCTTGGTGCGTGTATATCATAGCCAGAGGACTTTGGCTGTGTTAGGAGTGCCTCACCCTTACCCCATGAGATTTGCTCACAGAATCATTTTCCAGGTGGAACAAAGCTACACCACTTCTTGCCTAAAAATAGCTTAGCAAATGGGAAGCTGTCCAGGCAGGGAATTTGGAATGAGCACGTGGTTAGAGCTGCATGGACAGCCCCAATGCCAGCACCTGTGGTGGGGACTTGGGCACCCTTCCCACCCTCACCTGCAGGAAGGAAAATGGGCAAGTCATGCACTCACCTGTAGGAATTCCAAAGCCTTCCATGGCTCCTGGGAGCTCAGGAATGCCACTGAGGCATCTCTGCATCGCCTGGGTGTGCACTGGGCTTTGTTCTGGAAAAGGACCCTTTGCTGCAGAGAGAACTCTCTGCTGTGGTGCTTTATGTATGTCAGGGGTTTATCACGCATTAAAACCTGCCCAGGGAAGACCTTGCACTGAACTTTCAGGTAATAAAGTCATTTTACTGCCATCAGGAAAACTAGTTTAAACCATAAAGAACCTGCCTGGTGTTGAGCCTCTTGACTTTCTTACTGGTTTTGGACAGTTGGGTGAAACATCACGCTGAGATATCAGCTGGAAGTGAAATGGTTTGTTGTTGGCCTGATCTAAAAGGACCGTGTTTTCCTGTAATGGGCACACTCAGTGTGTGTGACTGAAGGTGTGGGATGGTCCTGAAAGCATTTACACAGAAATTAGAAGTCTTTACTAGAGTTGATACTTCTTTCCAAGACTAAAAATTGCCCAAGTTGAACTTTAAAAATACTTTTCAGTCTGCCATCTGCTTAATTTTGGGAGCTTAGATAACTCCTGGTTAAATGGAAGAATCTAATAATAAAATATAGTATATAAATAAGAAATACTGCATGAAAAATACTTGTATAAGAACTTGCTGTTCCTCAGATACACAGGTTTTCTCTTTTTGTTGTAGGAAGAGCTTGAAACTGCGAGAAAATTTCTCTATTATGAAATGGGCTACAAAGTAAAAACAGATCAATTAACAGACAGCTCTGAAATCAGCCTGGTGCCCTCAGATATTGAGAGGTGAGTGCAGCTGCAGAGCTGATGAGCCCCTGTCCCGCTCCCGCTGCAGTTCCCCAGGGATAACCCTTCTCCCACAGGTACAAGAAGCGGTTCCACATGTTTGACAAGGACAAGAAGGGCTTTATCACCATCCTGGACGTGCAGCGTGTCCTGCAGGTGAGGCTTGCTGGGCTTCCTTCGGGAGCAGCCCCTCTGTGTGTGTGGTGGAGCCGGTGCTGAGCAGTGCTGTGCTTGTCTGTGCAGAGCATCAGCGTGCAGATCGCCGAGAACACGCTCCACGAGATCCTCAACGAGGTGGATCTCAACAAGAACGGGCAGGTGGAGCTCAACGAGTTCCTGCAGGTGGGTCATTCCTCTTCTTCCAGGAGAAGCTGTTTCTTTAATGGGCAAAGCCACAGGTAGGGAATTTTTTCCCTTCGTCTTAGGGCTGGGATGGAGACCAGGTGAGTGTTACCTGTGGTGTGACAAGGGACACACAGAGCCACCCTTGAGCAGCTTGGGCAACGATATTTTTCCACTGAGACCCAGAGAACAGGTCCAATTTACAGATTATACCCCAGTACAGTCCTGAGTTTGGCATTTTTAGTACAGAAATGCTGTTTAAATAACTGTATATTAAAAAATAATACAGTTGTCCATTGGAAGGCACATGGCACAGCTGTGCACACTGACATTATCTGGGGCTGTTAAGGGATTAGTAGTTTCTAAACTACTGGTAATTATAAAGATGAATAAACTCAATAATAAGAAACTAAATATTAATAATATATAATAAATAATAAATAGATATAATAATAAACTATAAATAAAACATGAAATGATAAACTAAATAACTGAATATTATATTATAAATATATTATAAGGGCCATCCGAGCCCAGTAACCCATTTTAACTCCTGGATTGGCTGAATCATCCCAGTTTCTATGAAAGAAATGACAGGCATCTGCCTTTTCGGGGTCTTTCAGATAAAACCAGGGGTTCTCCCCTTGCATATGCAGTTTGCCAGCTGGGTTGGTTTTGAGGAGGGTTTTTTGGGGTGGTATTTCAGAGCCTGCCATGTCTCCCGTGCCCGGTGGCAATGATGAATGCGGAACAGGAGAGAAATTAATGCTGGGGATTTTGGTCAATGTCAGCCCTTTCTTCACTGTGTCAAGTTAAACAAACAAGATCAAGGCGAAGGAAATGGTAATTGTCTCTCTGGAGATGAGCTGGGGATAAGAGCAGCATTGTTGAATCTAAATGCAGAAAATTTTCACAGGTTGTGTCCAGCATTAGCAAAAAGGAGTATTTATTTGCCTAAAACGCAGCAATTGAGCTGGGGAGCTGCAGTGAATTTGGGAGAAGGGGAAAATCCAAACCAAACAAACCAGGAGGGAAAGAGAACCAGTGGCTTTGGGAGTTTGTGGTGACATATTCAAATGGAGGAGAAAATCCCAGCTGGTTCTGGCGGTTGGAAAGGGTCACCCTCATACCTCCCTTGGCATGTGGAGACCTTCAGCTGGGGGAGCCCAGCCCTTACTGCAAGGGCTGTGTTAGCCAGAGTTTGGGCAGTTTGGGGAACATTGCGCTTAAGAAGCTGCAACAACCAGTGATTGTGTGTTCTGTGGGTTTTGGGGCCCTTGTGGGGTTTTTGCTTTGCTGGGCTGACCAGTCCCACCAGGGGCTGGGGGACCTGTGTCACTCTGGCTCCTGCACATCTGCCCAGCGCTAAGTGGGAAGGGTGGCACTGAAATGAACAGGGGGTTGCCATGGAAGGAGCAAACTACATTAAATGTTTGTTTAATTTTTTAATGGATCTGTTAAGTCAGTGCCCAATACTTGGGTGTTTGCTTTCTGAAAACTTCCAAGTAATTGCGTTTCACCGCAGAGCGATTGTGCAAGCCCTGGGCAAATATTTGTGGAGGTTTATGTTAGAATATAGAACAGGTTGTACCTGGGGGCTACCTGGCTCTCCAGGTGGGAGCACAGTGCTGAGGGAACCCAAATAATGGCCTGGTGAGGACCAGCCTGGCAGCTCCCGGTGCCCACAGGTGTCCATGGAGTGATGCTCAACAGAGGGTGGGACCTCGGTGTTGGGATGTAGGGGCAACCCCCCCCTCACAGGTGGGATTTTCTCCCCAATATCCCATCTAACCCTGCCCTCTGGCAGTGAGAAGCCATTCCCTCTTGTCCTGGCACTCCAGGACTTGCCCAAAGTCCCTTTCCAACTCGACCTTGGCAGGGCTGACACCACATCTGCACAGGTCCAACTGCAGATGTAATGAATAGATTTTCCTATGGAAGGGAAGGAGTCTGAAGGATTCCTACACTCGATGGGAGTAAGAAATTGCATTTTGCAAGTGCCAATTTCTTCCCCAGCACTCTGTGCTGAGCTGACTGCAGGTAATTTCAGATCTAATGCTCACTTTATCCATGGGATAAAAAAGAATTAACTAAAATCTTAGCACTAGTGTGTGTTCATTGAGAGAGAGCCGAGCCCAGCTCCCAGGACTTAAAGGCAAATTAGTTTTAAAAGTCTATAAAGGAGTTTGGATTTGAAAGAATTGTGGAAGTCAAGTATAGTGTCTCTACAGAGAAGAGCTTGTCAGTGAAAAAGGGCTTGGTCTGGAGTCAGTGGTGGATCAGGAATCATGGAATCCCAGGATAGTTTGGCTTGGAAGGGACCTTCCACCAGCCCAGGTTGCTCCGAGCCCCGTCCAGCCTGGCCTTGGACACTTCCAGGGATCCAGGGGCAGCCACAGCTTCTCTGAGCAGCCTGAGCCTCCCCACCCTCACAGGCAGGAATTTCTTCCTAAACAGAAACAAATCCAAATGGTGCTCTTGTTTGAGCTGCCTCTCTCAGATATCACAAACAACCCTGTGGGATATCCCACATTCTGAAATGTCGTGGCAAAAAACCCCAGTGATGGTGGTTGTGTGCACTGGTACTTCCAAGTGGATCATATTTGGGACTTCCACTCTTCCTGCCACCTGTGCCTGGCCAAAGCCTTCTCTGATGTTTCTGGAAAGTGTAAAGGGGCCTTGAGGCGAGGTTTGAAACCGCAGTGTAGGTCTGTCCCTGGAGGGATCAGGTCTGTAGGTTCATTAAGGTGTGCTGAGGGCTCTTGGCTCCGTGTGCTGCCCTGAGCAGGGGGTAACGGGCTGCTGTCCCTGTGTCCCCAGCTGATGAGTGCCATCCAGAAGGGCCACGTGTCGGGGAGCAGGCTGGCCGTGCTGATGAAGAGCGCCGAGGAGAACCTGCGGCGCCGCGCCGCCATCCCGGTGGACCGGAGCGGGGGCGGCGTCTGAGCCCACCCCCACCCCACGGCTGCCTGGAGCTGCTGAGAACATTCCAGAGCTTCTGCCCTCCCCGCTGGCCCAGGTGCCCAGAGCTGTCCGTCGGCGTAGCTCTTCCACAATGCGTCGGTGCGTTTGTCCGCGTCATTAACGATTTTCCTACTGCTCCGGTACGTGGCCTTCGGGTCGGGGGTTCTGCAGTCCCAGGGGTTTCTTAGCAAGAGTTCAGGAACACAGGCTGGGAGGGTTTGGGGGCGCACACAAGCACGTACTGCCTTGGTCATTAACTTTTCACTTTAATCTTTAAAGCAGAGGATGCTCTAAGTGAATCCTGCCATTAAACGTGTTGAATTCTCCAAATACAGACCCAGTATCTCAAAGCTGCTGCTGTGTCCTCAGCAAAAAGCAGGCGAGGGAGAGCTTGTTTTAGATGGAGATAATGATCCCAAAAGGAACAAATCCGACACTTCCTGGGGTGGTGGTGATGGTGGGGAGCTGTCCTGAGCCTTCCAGTAGGCTGGGTTTGCTCTCTTATTCCAGTGGTGCCAAGACTTGGCCACACAAAAATATCAGCTGGAAAACATCTTGATGAATCACCCCGAGGCAATAATTTGGCTAAAAGCTGAGGACAGCTTCCCTTTCTCCCATATTAACACAAATAACTGCCTTTAATAAATGGGCATTGTCTGGCAGGTGGTGTGCTTTGTGCTGTAAAATAAAGGTAAAAGGTGCTTTATGCTAAAAAGTGCTTTGAGTTTGGGACAAACCCTGATGACATGTAGGATAGGGCAGGTTTTGGTAGCACAATAGTCTTAATTTAAAAATGCTCAAACACAGAGTGAAAAAAACAAAGTTTGTCTTGCATTCCACTAACTTTTCTAGAAAAAAGGGCTATTTTTCAGCAGATTAATGGAAAAACCCAAACAAGGAACCCTCACTGGAGCTGTTTCCAGCACTGCTGTACCTGTCTATTGCCTTCCTGCTGCTGGATTTGGTCGAGATCAGGTGGTAGATTTCTGCCTGATGTAGGACAAGGCAGGAAAACCTGGTTGATTGCTGGATTTGGCACCTGTTTTATTCCTTGAGTAGAAATAGCAATTTCCACCTCAAATCAAGCTTCACGTCCCAGGTGTCAGAATTTCTGATCAGTAAAATCTGATGTATTTGACTGGTGTCACCACATTCACTGATGGAAAATAGCAGGACAGGAGTGAGCAGCAAAGATTCCTTGGGTATTTTTATAGGGAACATGATCCCAGACACAAAGGGAGGTGCTGAGGAGTGTGGGATGTAGCACAGTGAGTACAAATGTTTTGTTTTGCTGGAGAAGCGTAGTCCTTCAAAAAATATTAAAATTCAAGTGCTGAAAAATAGTAGATACAAAAAAACTGGGGCAAGGCTCATCTAAAATGAGTTTTTAAAATGGTTCAGATGGTTTTTGCATGTTAAATTCATTTTTTTGGTGCAGATATTGTTCAGGTTGTGGCTTTGTGCTTCGAGCCCTGTGCTGTGAGCAGGGACTGAGGGAGGAGTTGGCACATCTGACACCACAAGGTTGTTTTAATGAACAAAGGGTTTGTTCCTGTGGTCCTGTAAACTTTTCCTTTTGAACTGTGTTCTAGAATATTCAGGTGAAGGGGAATGTTTGTCTCAGCTTTGTATTTCCAAACCCACAGTAACAGATTTCACATATCCTGCAGAACTGAGGGAAGTGAATGTCTAACACACAGGTAATTTTGGCTCAGTGAACAAGGGAAGGGGTTTGGGATTCTACAGTTACCAATAATTAAAGGGGAAAAAAAAAAAGTAAAAGTCATGAGACCTTTTCCAGGCCACGTTAAAAAAAATATTTCCAATATTGAACAGCTTTTATATGGTTTGAAGAGGAATTCTCTTCCACTCCTCTCTAACTGGCTTTGTTAAATTAATTACCCTAGTTTACTTGTGTTGTACCCAAAGTATGCTCCTTGTCTCTCTTGTTTTGCTAATCTTGCACCTGGAATGTGACTTTTGGATACTCTTGTTTTGCTAATCTTGCATCTGGAATGTCACTTTGGGATTCTCCTGGCTATGTGTCCTTGGACATGGATTTGCTTTGCGTCTCAGGCACTTTATGTCACCCTCCTGCTCCCCTGTACAGCCCTGGAATGACGGGGACAACTGCATGTGTTCCTTCAGCAGCTGAATCTGTACCTGAAGAAATCTAAAGTATTTATTTCTGCCCTCACTCTGTCTGCAGGAATGTTGGCTTTGTTGTTTAAGGTTATTTTAATGTGAATGTACCGTGGGAAGAGTTGTACAATGTCACTGCCTTACTGTGCTGATCTGGGGTGGAAAAGCAGGAATGGGATTTTTTTTTTCTCCCTTTTTTTTTTTTTTTTGGAGGGAAGGGGTGAGATGAGGCTTGAATTTCTGGATTTGCTGGGGTTATTTTGTGTTTTAAATAAACTGCACACCTGGGGGGATCCATGCAGTGTGTGTCGATGTGTATAAATACGTGCACAGACACTCACTGCAGGTTTACACGTGGCACTTACGTCTGTTGTCAGGTTCCTGTTGCAGCCTGGGCTGTTCAATGCTGTGTTTGAGGCTGGGTTGTCATTTTTATAACTGTCTTGGTGTTTTCCTGCCGTTATTTATTACCTTTGATATCTGGAATGAGCCGCATGCGTTTATCGAGCAATAAGAGGATGTATTTAATGTGCCTTGTTTTTAACTGAGTAAGGACTGAGAGCATGAATCAATAAAACTGGTTTAAAACGCTCCTTTCACTGGCAGTTCGTCATGGCAGGTGAAAAAATAACTTCGCCTTGAAAAAGTTTCTTTGGGAAGGAAGGCTGTTGGGATGGATGTGTCCTTGTAAACAGAACCAGTTTTTCCGTGCTTTCCCACCTCAGCTCGCAATTTAGCACTCGGTAGTTCCGAAGTGAAAATGAGGAGTTAATGCAGCACTTGGCATTCCTGGGAGGTGACAGGGTGAGGAATCCTGCACTGCCCTCTCAGGCTGGAATTACAGCAGCCACCTGGATTTGGGGGGGGGGTGGGGGCTGGAAATGCCAACCGCGAGCAGTCCCTGCACACTGATGAGTTTGATCCTGACTAAAATCAATAGAAGTGAACAGGAGCGATTTCCTAATCCATTTGGATCATGTTACATGTCAGGTTTCCCGGGGTTGCCGTGTGTTGATGAATGTTCCGACAGAACAAATCCATTTTCCCTGTCAGTAAATCAGCAGCGCCGTTATCAGGGCGAGCACAATCTTCATAATCTCCAGATTATTTCGTAGGGTTTAATTTACACTTGCAGCGGGGATGTTCCACAAGTGCTGCGGAGCTGTGCTGATGCAGGGGTTGTGTATGTGCAGCTGGAGCAGCTCCCTCCGTGTGGGGATGAACC